ATAATAATAATAATAATAATAATAATAATAATATACGTTAATTAAAGCTCTTCCTTAGGGGCTTTCCAGCCACAATGTAGACAAACTAAGACTTAAAAATCCCCACTGGCAGGAGGCAGACCAGTGAGCTATTTACAGAGCACAGCCGAGGAGTTGAACTAGGGGCAATCGAGAACAAATCCAGTGAGTGGCAGGGTGAAAGACTTGAATCCGGGACACCGGATTACAAGTCCAGCACCCTAACCACTCGGCCACGCCGCTTCCCACACAGTCATTTGTTTGTCACGCAATACTTTTTTCCGTCCTTTCAAGTCTCTGTATGAAACGTACAACAGCTTGAAATAAATGTCACTTTATTTTATATGTTTGGTAAATGTGATATTTGATGAGGATTCTTTATTGTTATCACATCCTTTTTTTTTTCAACAATACTTCACAGGGCTTTCGAAAACAAACTTATATTACATATCCACACTGTCTGAAATAAGAAACCCAATTTTGCAGTGAGATTCTGCTGCAGGCCTCATAGATGGCAATTTCTGTTTCATTTTCCGCTTTGATTTGGTGGAAACAAAGCTTGCACGTGTTGAAGTGCGGGGAGTACGCAGGCTGAAACAACAGGTTAACTACATATTTGGCGAGCATATTTCTGAAATTCATCTCTGCAAATCTGGTGTGATGAAAAGGACAGTTATACATGATGACTGTGTCACCACTCTTGAGTATAACAGATCCATCCCGCTTTGTGATGTCAACAGCTTCCTCGAAGAAAAGTAAAAGTTCATTGCCGTTTGACGCACCTTCAATGACACTAATGTGGTCTACTCCAAGACAAGAATGCATGAGGTTTATGGTATAGTTAGCATTAGACGCCGATCGTTGATCCTCAAATGTTGGAACTCCTATAGGTGCATGTCCGTAACACCTGTTCATGGTTGTTTTTGATACACCAGCCTCGTCAAAAAAGTGCACGGAACTGACGTTTAAATCACTGACTTGGTCAAGATAGAAATTGGTGTCATCCTCTATTTCCTGAGTTTTAGATTCGGAAGGCACGGCATGAATTCTCTTTTTAGTCATCAAGAGTTCTTTTCTCAAAAGGTAACTGATGGTACTCGGGTGAGGTAGATCGGCGGGGTGGACAACACCATCCAATACTAGCCTGTTCTGTAACTCACTATAATAAATACTTGGTTTGCACAGTTTTTTGTTCTCTATACACTGAATGGCATCTGGCGTTAGAACAGAGCGCCCTTTATGACCTTNTCAAACGAACAGTTAAATTTGACCCTTATTGTGATTGGTCCGCTGATGAACAAACTCCAATTCTTTTGTTCTGAACTTGTCTTGTGATTGGCTAAAAAACGTTGGGTGGCTCCGGTTGAGTTCGTTTCACTGTAATTTACATAACAAAATGCTAACTTTTACTGTCATCACAAGTCTAAGAAAGGACAACACACTAAGATCTACTTTACAGATTAAGCAAAACCACTCCTGCTTGTCTGAGATAGGCTATTTTATTGTTTTTCAAAGATAAAGTAACTTTCATTTGACCATGAAGCAAAAATTACAACTAGTGAGTATGTGTCAATAGCAAACAAAGGAAACAATGTTAAGAGTGATTTTCTGTGAACCGTACAAAGAAAATAACTAACCAGCTAATATTAGTCTTTCATAAACAAAAGAAAACAATAAGCCTTCGAAATTTTTCACAGTCAATGGAAAACCACTCTATCGGTTTGTTTATATTGATCTCTCTATAGTGCAAAGTTTGTGTAAATAAATTCATGGTTTATGATATAATATGTGTACAATAATGTTTATTGATGTTTATATTAAAGTTATTGAATGTGCTTATATTACTACTAGTGTTCCATAATTCCTAGATACTATTCTCTTATTGGTGGCAGAAAATTTGAAATACATGCTACGTCCACCCAAATATCAGATGCAATTGCAGAAATACCAATTGGCACTGGCTGATCAAAGAAATCCCAGTTTTTGAGTCTTTCCATGTATTTTTCAACATGTATGCAGAGGCTTGCAATTTTCTTGTTGTGGTCAGATTCTTGTTTGGTAAATTGAGTTTTACCCTTTAAGAAATGTGGCAATGCCAACTTTGCTCCAACTTCGGCCACGTCATCTATTCTGTTGTGATAAATACCTGGATTCCTTCACAATCTGACTGTCACTGATCGATCTACAGTAAAGATCACTGCAAAACGAGACTACACCATTGGGAGTAATACCAATGAGAGCTTTCATTGTATTGGGAGACTTATTACTTGAATAGCACAAAGACCTGTTATCAAGACCAGAAGGGGGTCGCCCATTGCATGCACAATGCGTATATACATTCCCTTCTTTGCCTCTTGTTTGTGTGCACGTGTACCCAGAAAGTGATCAATGAATATGGAAGTCGGCAGGTTATTCTTTTCGCTTGTGCTCAGAGAAATTTCTGAGGTAATTCAATTTTTCACGTGTACTTATAATTTGCACGCAATTTAAGCTTAATAACGAAATGAAAAAGTACAAACGTTTTAAAGAGAGCAATTTTATTCTAAGAACTAAAATCTAACTTTTACAATAAATAAACTTGATCCCTTGATTACTATTTATTCTCGAACTATTGGTCCATTGACATGGGAACAAGCCTTGAGTAGCTGAGCTGCTGACTTTTGGTGGCAGGCGTACTGGTCCCAGTAGCTTAGTATTTTCGCTTGCATGGAGCAGTACTTTTTCTTCTGTAGTTTAGTTAATTTTCTTTCTGAAACCAGTCAAATTTGAAGGGCCACAAGGCAGGCTTCCTTATGCAGCAGGTGTATAAGCATGTAAAGAGGCATTTGGGCTCTTCCTGAGGGACGTTTGTTTAGGGCACTATGCCATACTTCCACATCATTGTTGGTGCGAATCTGCTGCTTGTACACACTCCAGCAGAAGGGGGGCCAGGTAGTGCTTTGCACCCAGGTGCCATGAACATACTCCAAACTTCTGCAGGGGTTCAGTGTTAGCTTGCAGCTGAAGACGGGTAAACATGGCAGGTATCTGACTCGCAGGCAGGAATGGTAAGGCAATTATTTTATGGAGATACTTGAAGGTGCCATCATCTGATTGATATGCGGGCTGAAGACCAAGTTCTTTAATCTGTAATGTAAAAAGGTTACAAAAAATGGTAAGCAAATATTAAAAAAGATTGGACACTCCTTCCTGCTTTAGCTTTATCCGTCAAAGAAAAAAAATCAATTTGATACAGCTTCTCTTACTGACCTTTCTCCACAGAGCTTGTGTCCAATGGAATACACAGCCTTTTACCATCACATCTGGTAGGACTTCATGAAGGCAGTTCTGCATTGCTTTCTCAAAGTCAACCATGACCTGGTTAACCTTAGGTTTCTGTGGCAGGAGGTCTAGAATAGTCCTCATGACCTGAAACAGGATAAGACATAGGTGTGAGTGGATGTTCAGAGCTAATTTTGCCTATTAATCAACGTTGAAAAATTTTTAGTAATCCCTACTCTGACTCTCAATGCATATTTACCTTTCGATAATCCTTTGTCTTCTTGCCAGACATCAAGACAAAGACCGATGGGACCTGTTTCACATGGTCCTCACATCTGACATAGGCATTGATGGTCCAGAGCTGGGTGAAGGGGTGATGGCACAGCTTAAAGGTACCATCTGTAAACCAGGTCTTGGCTTTGCTGAGAAACTGAAGCTGTTTTTCAGTGGCAAAGACAAGATGGCGTCTACTGTTGACAGTTACATCTGCTTGAAAGAAGCCATGTGGAATGTGATCAGGGGCTTAGCCAGGATTTTTCCGTAGGTACGCACAGTTTTCCATCTCACCTCTTCACCCCCCCCCCC